TTGTATGAGCTGATTTGTATATGAGACCATTAATTAAATTTACAATTTTAAACAACCTACCTACCTACTTATATTGCAATTTTGTATAAAATGGTCGGTATGTTTAATTAACTCGATATTTTCATTCAAACGATTTTCACCTTTGGGTAATGAAGCTTGTTTACATTTTTTCAGTACACTTTATGTTGTACATTTATTGATGTTTTAAAAATCATCATTATTCATCACTCATTACATACACAGAGTCACTACACAGTTTTCTATATAGAGGTTTATTATTACAGCTTTTTGGAAGTCATCAATCTAATGCATTTTATTTTAAATACATATTTACATCATACATTTATTTTTTCACTTTTCTAATGTTATTGGTCAACATAGTTTTTTATTTACTCTGTCGATTAATCAACCACACAGAGTAATGATTGAATGTGCTTCGATTTTCGCAATAACCTATTAGTTTTTATTTTCACAGCAACAAATAATGTTTGTTCAGATGACTTGTAACTTGTAAGTGTGTTACAGGTAGAAGAAAAAAATATATACTATGTGAAAATAACGTTAACACGAAACGTACAAACAGATGTTGGATTTTCGATAGTAATATTTTGACCTTACGGTGTAAGAATGAATCATTGAATTATTCAATGGATTCTCACGAGAAAAATAAAAGCCAAATAACTATAATGATCGACCAATGAAAACTCACAGTTGATGTTCTAAATTCTGAACTATTATACTTAACAGTATAGGTAGTATAGTTTTCATTTAACATTATGGTAATTTACTTAATAAATAAAAATGTGCAGTTTAAAGACCGTACAGAGTATTAGACATCACGCACAAACTGCAATTTCGTAATATGACCAAAAATTTACATTGAAATGTTAAGAACAAATTACTTCCTAAATAGATTGATATCAACTTTTTTTAAAACTTTTGTTGAACATTGTTAAATGCTTAGATACTTCATAAAACCAAAAAAATGTGAACAATAATTGATAATTATTAAGAATATTAACACAATCTTGTTGATACAATGTTGTATGAAAGATTTAAGATACACTATATTATAGTTTCGTATTCACTTATTAGATATTTTATTTAAATCAGTTGATTATTGCTTCGATGTTGTGTAAAATGCTTACAATATAATACAATTTGCACGAAGAATTAACATATAATTTACATGTTGAATTGCGTAACAAGAATATCCAAACTCAATTTAACATTAATTCATTATTGTAATGTTTTCAAATTCTAGGACACCGTACCAACAATGTAGGTAGGTGTTTCGAACCGCTTCACGGAACATTTAGGACAAGAATTTTACTGTAACTATAGTACAACAATCAAATCAAGACTTATAAATAATAATTAATGCAAGTGAATAAAATTTACAGGTTGTTTAAAAAAAACCAATTGACTGGAAATAACTTCTTTCTTATTTTTAAAATTTTAATTTGATTTTCAATGTAACATTTTCCATTTTCATTTCATTAGAGATTAATGTCTTCGGGAACAACAGGTAGTATATAAATGTGTATAGCATATTTAGTATACTTACATAATATCAACAATTGTATTCTTTGTAGCAAACAAATCGGTGATTTTAAACAACAGTTAGTGTAGGTACAAATCGTGTCCCCAGCTTTAAAGCGACCATATAACTACTACACCTTGCTACTTAATTTATAACGTCAACCATTATTTGCATCTTATTCAGACTTTTTACTGATGTGACTTTAAAACTTTAAGACTATATTATAAAGGTGAGCGTTTTAACAAAATAAATGTTCAGGTCATTATCGGTAAGTTGTTATTCCGACGATTCAGGCTAAGGCAACAATTGTAGTAAATATATTGTTTTTTGGCATTTCATAAGAAATAATTTTTCTTTTTATTGATTGAACCAAAATATGATAAGCTGGCTACGGCCTTTGTTATAATAAATTTAATTTTATCGATTTAATTTTTGTAAGTTTTGAATCTTTAGTTCGGTTCACGATATATTTTAGCAGTACAATGCAGTATAGTGTAAACATCTGTACAACTTTTGATACATTTACATTTTAAGCATGTAACAGGTATAAATATTTTATTCATAGATACCAATTAATTTTAAAAATAGGCTGCTTTTGGTTTTATGTTATTTTGTATGTTTTATATTATCTAAAGCGGTATTATTTACATAGACTCTGTATATCAATGATTGCCTCTGTATATTAGTTAAGGAACAAAATAATACTATGTATATAATACTTATACATTTAGATGTATATTTAGTCACAAAACACTGTTATTGAATGTAAAAATAAAGTACTAAAAACAGTAATATGGTGCTCATTGAATTTATCTATTTTAAAAATATACTAAAACTAAATTGCATACTATTTAGTTCTTAACCTAACCACAAGTCACAAAAAAAATGAATAACTAACACACAAAGCTAAAGCTCAAATTATATTATATAATTAACGTGAGTAAATATTTTCGGCAAGTGCGTTAATGTTTCCCAAAAAATTAAGCTATATAATGGGTTACGTATGTTTTGGAAGTTGATAAAATATATCAAATTTTCATTTTTCATTGTTGCTGGCTGTGTATAGGAATATAGGTTCTATATTTGTATTTTTATTGTACACTTGGAGAACTAAAAAAAGTTTTGTTGGATACGGCTTACAATTAAATATATAAATTTGCAATAAATAAACATGTATAATACAAATCCTGCTAACCTGTATGTGAGTTAGCAGATATATTTCATTGTAGTTTATAGTATATAATATATAATTAATCGAACGTTGAAAATATCAATCAATGAATTTTATTGATTTAGATATGGATACTATCAGTGGACGCAGTAGACATGAATTTTTCCTTTTTTTAAATCTATACTCAAGTCATTGCTTTATTAGGCTAATAACTATTTGTTGGTTTTCATGAGTAAGAATTAGGAGTAGTTATAATGATGATAATACATTATTTCGTTTGATGTGACGTTTAAAAAAAAACAATTATGAATACACGGCGTTATAAGTAGGCAAATCAGGTACATCACTGCTATTAGTTTATACAATATTTTAATTTTTAATAATAATATAAAGCTGGTTTGGGAACACAGTAACTTATAAGTTATAACTAAGATTATGCAAAACAATTTTAAATAGATGACTAAATAACTCTTTTCTAATATTTTCTTAATTAGGCTGGATTTTTAACACTGTTAATGATAATAAAAATCACCATCAGGCATCAGTAAAATATAATTATTTATTAATAGTATTTAATTTAATTATTAATTGACAGTACTAACTTAAATATTGTATGCTGTGCACGATACTCATATTTATATATTTAATGAAGATAAAAAACAATGTGCACAGTTTTAACTCTGACTTCTAAATTAAAAATTAGTTTGAAACTTTTGATTTTAAGGTTAAAAAAAATCGGGAAATTATAAAACCTTTATTTACATACTTAGGATTGAATATTAATAATCCTTCTTGAATTCAGAATAGGTAATTACACAGTTTTAAAAAAGCGACTATAGTTGTTTCTCTGCAGAAGTAAACCACTCAAAATGTTCGCTTGTGGATTAATCACGTATATGAAGGATGTATGAACAATGTAAATAATTCAAATATAATAATTATGACAGGAACTCGTTTTAAAAATAAAAATAAAATACCATAGTTCTATTCAACCTTATTCAATAATAAATAATTATTGTTCGTGATTTATTACCAACATTTTCACGGTCAGTCTCACAGAATTCATCGAAATGTAATAATGATTTACACAGTTTGTGGAAGTTCCATGATACCTGCACATAAGCTATAATGTCAATATTTTGTTCCGTAAATACAAAATATTATTAATTAGTACTTGAATATGGCTAACAGTATCACTTAGTGTATATGATCCTGACGATAAAAATATTCCGAAAAGAATCATACGATGTTTTTTTTATTATTGTTTAAATAAATATCGTTTCTGTAATAATTATTAATTAAAATACTACGATATTATAAACTTGGATGTTAAGAGGATTGTATCAATAATATAACTAAAATTGTAGCTGATTCTACTATTTTGTCGTTTTATTGAAGTATGAAATACTTTATTCGACTCAGGATCAAAAATGTATTTGGGAAAATAAAACATAATTTTATCATAGCTTTTTTATCATTAATAAACACAATTTTATATATTAGATATAAAAATTAATTAGCATCATAGTATAACACAGGATTACTGGAACTTAAGATTTGAGAGTGTGATCTTAAACATTAAGTTATAATTTGTCGTTTTTTGTTTATACATTTTTTTATAGTGTACCTATGAAAGTTTTAATTACCACCGTGATCCGGCTTTTTAAATACCCTGTTATTATTTTACATTTTTAATACAATTTTTCTTTAAGAACTAAGCAATAACGACGTTTCTCGGAGACACTGATTGGTTTTATCGCATGCTGAAGATGCTATAAATTTCCACGTAATTATTTTAAAAGGTTTACGTTTGAACAGAATTAAATATATTGACTATGGATTTTCGTTTGTCTCTATATTGATTTGTATTTCTTAATGTAAATAAGACACTAAAACATGTATATTGTATACCTGTATATTACATAATAATACATTAATACATATACATCTCGAGTGTTCGAAGTTCAAAGAAAGAGAGAGACTTCTTTTTTACTATCAATAGAAAACTGTTTTATTTTAATGCGAAACATTGTTGTAGGTATGAAGCGTTTTATCACTTGTGTGTATTTTTACAATAAACTCGCATCGTATAAATTGAAATCGACTATTGATTGTTCCATGTAAAATTATATAGTTCTTACATTTATTTATTTTTCATGGAAAACGTCATAGTCTCTGGCTTGGTGATGGCAAGCATACCAATCTTGATTACGAACTAATGGTTTCAATAATCAGTCGCTATCTCGTGATGTTTGATCGATATATCAGCAACTAGGTCGCAACACACACCCTCCGAGACCAGAACAGTCTGAATACGTTGCAGTTTACGTACACAACGGTGGAACATGTTGGACGAGTCGTCGACAACGTCTACAATCACGACTTCAACTGCAACGATCTCCACTTCTGTTGTCGCAACGTCGTCGATAAAACCAAATGCTTCCATCACCACCGGAGTAGGTTCGCAAACGGCCGTCACAGCATTGTCCTCGGCGACTTCAACTTGCACGGCCGCAGCCATAGCTGATGCTTTTGACATATTCGATCATAGTGGGAACAGGACCATTGATGTACGTGAACTTGGCACAGTACTCCGTTATTTGGGTAAGGTAGTAGAGACATCATATAAACTAACGATTGGGGATCAGTACAGAAATACTGGAGAGAGAGAGGAGAGAGATAAGTTTGTCATAGAAATATAGAGTAGTAAAGACCACGTCGTATTATAATGTACAAAGTGATTTTTGAACAGTTGACATATTTTTCAAGGTTAATGTTTTTGAAAAAAAATATTTTTATCGTTAAAAAGTGTTTAAGTTTTTGCTTTTTTAAATGTACCCTTTTTTATTACAATTTCTAAGAAGAATATTTTTTGGAAGAAATTTAATTTTGAATTCGTAACAGTTATGAAGCTACTAGTTATGAAGTTTAGTTATGAATATAATTGTATGCATACTTAAAGGCAATTAAGCAGAGAACCGGGGAAGAGTGAAATATATAGGTATTGGCAACAAAGGGCCTAGACGGTTCATATGCTTAAAAAAAAAAGAAAAGAAAGCGGGGCTCCATTTTCGGAATAACTTTGCCTAAATAATGCCTTTCACTCTGCCTATTAAAATTTTATTGTTTTAATACATATTATAACTAATTTATCATAGAGTTTCAAAATATTTACTTTTTATACATCATAATCACGTGGACAAATAATAGGATTTAAAATATGAAATTAAAAATATATGATGTCGCTAAAAAAGGAAAAAATATCACTATAAAAGTTGTAACATTTTTTTTTTCATACTATATTTAAACTAAAAAAAAATCATCAACATAATGCAGAGAAAAAAACTAAAAAAGTTTCAAATGTATAAAATAAATAGGTCAAAAACTCAAAAAGCATCAATATTTTGAAAATATTATTATGTTTAGAACATGTTAGTTTAAGATTTTGTTTCAAAATTTCGAGTAGTTACGGTTATTCCTTTTTGATTTAAAAACAAAAACAAATATATATTATATTGTATTCGAAAACTATATACTCCCCTTTTCCACTGTTTTTTGTAAGTTATCTCAACTATTTTTAAAATAATTAACTATTTTTTACTTTTTATACCTTATTAAATTGTAGATTATGAAAAAAATATGTAGAAAACATTTTGTCTTACCTTGGTCAAAATCTAAGCTCAATTTTATATGATTATACAATTATAGTATAATGTTACCAACTATTCTATATTATTTGAACAAAATTGTTTTTTGTATTTAAGTTTTCAAATATTTAGTATTGAATGATATAAAAATGATATTTGGAAATATAGAACATTTGAGTACCCAAACAAATAATAATAACTAATGCATATCAATTTAATTAATATATCCATCTACACTAGTTTTAGGTTAATTGTCTTAAAGATTGTACAGATATTTTTGATAAATATTGTTTTATAAAAATTATAGAATGATTAAAATGTTTACTTGGGATGACTTACAGTTAAATAATAATATGTCTAGGGTAAAAACGAATCTGTGTTAAGCTGTCAGTAAACATCACTGATCTACCATGACATACGAGTATGCGACGTCCTTAACTTTTGTTTACTGATTGAAAACTTATTGTATGTAACAAAGACGTATTTAGAACGTAAATAACAAGTGATGTGGATTTAATATTGGCCTAAGTATAATCTTATACCAAGCAATGTATGCGCAGTCATTGACATGACTTCAGGCCATAGATCGGGTTATAGAGGTAATGCGGTACTGTGAACTGTAAAAGCAATATATTATAATATGGAATTCTAAAATTCATACATATAGGTATTATCTTTTGTGATTTATCGCTGTGTCCAGTGGATCGTGTGATGGATTTATATATTAATATGCAAGCCTTTTTTTTTGTAGTATTAATAACTCCACCTTTACCAATACATTGAAGGGAATAAATAAATGTATCAATGGAAAGGTTTTGGTCGAGTAGAATTAAATGAAAAAAACAGTTTATACATATTATGTGGTTATTGATGCAGGTAAAAATATACGATAATTAAAATACACCCAATGCCAAACAGTAAAATTTAAAGAATGTCATAGTAAGGTAATGCAAAATACATTATGTAGTAACCTAACCAATTTATATGACAAAAGAAAATTATAGGTATTCCCATACCTCCATATTAAATTATTTAAACGAATACAATGAGAAGAAAAACAAACGCCGATACCGAAACTCTATGTGTTCTCGGAAACTCAATATTTTAGAGCGTGTTGATTTTATAATTAAAATGGTTTTTCTGGTCGAATTTCGATCAATGAAAGATAATATTAGTATTAACTAATGAAATTCGTGAAAGCTACGAGAATACAACATTGTGTTGATATAATATAATTAATAGATTCATAAATATTGCAGTATTTTTAAAATGATCACAGGTTACGTACCGTCGCAGGCCGACTTGAGGGAACTCGCAGTAAACGTTGAAGATCACGAAGCGACCGGTACCGTACATCTGGCGGCATTTTTACCGTATGTTGAAAACGCCATTAGTGAATACAAGTGAGATGGAATTGAAATTCTATTGATATTTTAATGTGAATGCAAAACAATAAACAAATATGCAAATTTATTTTTATATTGTTGATGTTTGAAAATGCAATATAATAATGGCAGAGAATGATGCATAAGCATTTGATAATTGAAAAACACTCAGATATATGTAATATGGACAGGCGATAGACTGTCATTATATGTGTGTATTAATGTATTATAACACCAATTAAAATTGAAACGTACCAACAAATTTGAAATCAGTACGATTCATTGCATCGACAATTGTTTTATTATTTTATATTATACAAGTTTTTTTGGAATTCTACAATTTTAATTAGGTTTTCGAGAATATAAGGACCTTGATGTTTTTTTAAGCTGAAAACTATTTCACCTCAATTTCTTTTTTCTGTTTCTGGTCTCGGATATTTTACATATTATTTATTTTATTTTTATTGGCACTTAGAATTAGAAAAAAAAAAGTTTTTAATCAACTTCATACTGCACAGATTACATGTAATATTTTATATGCTCATAGAACTAAATTATTTATACCTACTCACTGTTTGCAATTTTGTGTGAATATATTAAGGTTCAAATTAATTAACAGAAATTAGCGCATTGAAACCTTAAGTGATTAATTGGTTGCATACACATATCTGAATACATTTCTGATAAACTAATGCAAGAGAGAAAACATTTAATTTTTACTAAACTCTACCTAAAAGAAATTTATTTTTACACTATGAACCGGTGACACCAGCGGAACTAGTTTCCTATGATTTCCCGGTGCTGCCATTGTTTATTAATACAAATACTTTACACTTGATATACAATAAACAATTGACATGCAATATTACAATGTAATATACATTATGCATATGCATATTATATAATTGCTCTTGTGGACTGATTTTTCGGATTTTCCTTTATTTTTTCACTTTATGTTATCAACAACATCTTCTAGCTGTGCAGATAATTAAAATGTAGTAAAATAGTATAGAACTTCAGAATAAAGTTGATATTTGCTATAGTTTTTTTTCTAGTATAAACAATTGATATTAGATCTATTAACATAACGTTAATAAACTTGATTTTAACTTGTTGTTCATCTACAACTATTTAGTAAAGTTATTGTTCTATAATATAATTTGATCGGTATTTATAAGTGTTCTACAACGACAAAAAACGGTATTTATTTTTTGAAAGAAAATACAGAAGACAAATAGTATATCTTAAATAACAGATTATGACGTTAAAAATTTTCCACCATTATCTTTGGTACACAAAGAGATACTGCGCAAAATGACACCGGTATAATCAATCAAAATATTGTCGGCTTCATAAAAATTTGTTGTTTTTTTCTCTCTCGCAGAATTTCGATACTTGCCATTGATTAAGAGTAACTTTTGCAAACCAAAACTAGAATTAAAACCTAACGAAAACATTTTTGAGAACCAGAATTAAAAAAAAATAAAATATACCATGCATCTGGTATACGCTGCACTGCAAACCACGATTCGAAGTTAATAGTTATAATAGTTATATTGTGCGATTATCTTATAACAGATATCAGCCGGCATCGGCGTCCGAACTTCTTAGCGCATTTCGTGCCTTGGACCCAGAGCGGACTGGAACTGTGAGCCGTGAGTGCATGGAGTCGGCCCTCCGTCACGATGGAGAACCTTTCGAGGACGAAGAACTGGAAGAAATGATGTCTGCCGCCACCATCGAAACGGCTGCTGGTGGTACCGTCATACCGTACGAGCTCTACATCAATAAAATCTTGGTGAGTGTACTCTCGGCACTGTTCAATTTTTGTTTCGTATCTCACCGACATGACCATAATATGTTTACTTATATGATTTACATATTAGTATATTATGAATGTGTATATATTAATGTATGTAATAGTACACTGTCTAGGTATTAGGTACACGAGTGATCTATCATGGGAATATTATATTGCAGGCCAAAATACCTGTTTAAATGTTTCAAAGTTAAGACTAAATAATTGATGTGACATTTTTTGAAAAAGCTCTCAAATGATGAAGGTGGTATGGTTATAGACGACTTAACACACTCTAGTTTTATAATGGGTGTGATATATATAAATTTAAAAAAATGTAATATACTTATGTCTGATTCAAAATATCTAACAAATAGTACTACGTTAGTAGGTACCATATTGTATTGTTAATTTAGGTAAATCCAATTACAAAATTATGTAAAAAAAACTGTTTCGCGTGAAAAAACAATTGGGCTACAGATAAGAAACTATACCTTAATCATGAAATAAGAAAAACTTTGCTCCTACAACATATTTTTTATTTTTTAAATAATATGGGAAAGAATAAAAATGCCTAGTTAAATATAAAATCACCCCTTTTTATAGTGAAAGTTTGGTTCCTTATTAGAATTATAGCTAGCATGAAACGATTATCAACAAACTATTTCTGATGTGTTTGTTATTTGGTCTTGCTCTTAAGAACATTCACGCCATTGTAAATAATTGTAAATAAGCATGTATACTTTTAATTAAAATAATTTTGTTTGTACACTTAAAAACTATGTTTATCATTATGCTTTGATTTTTTACTCAACGTGCGTAATGTAGAGAAAACAAACAATATTACAGTTATTATAATATTTAAATAAATCATAGTCCTTGTCTTATTTCAGGTCGTTGCCGTTCTCATAAAAATGTTTATAAATATTTATTAAGATATATTCTTCTTTACAAACATATTTGTATGAATCAGATGAATTATCAAGCTGAATACCTCGTTTTCCTCCGTGTGTAGTTTTATTTTGTGACAAAACCTATATACTAAATACGCTGTATAGGTGTACCTATTTCGGTTTGAGCGTATAACAGTTACCAGAAAAATTTACGTCAGTGTACCTATCTTTATAAAATAATTTGACATAGATGGGCAACCACTAGTTACGGATTTGATTTAGCACTTGGTATATTTTTAACATGGTTTAAACTACTGACTATCTAAAGTTTTTTGATATCTCTAAAAACAATCTCTGAGATTTTCGTCAAATTCAATTCGGTAACTTACTGCACACATTAATTTGGTTTTAAGATATAGTTTCATTATTCGAGGCCATAGCGTGACGATTTGATGCATGCATGCTTGTACTTGATATGACTGAGTTACCAATGGCGAACAATTATTATAAACAAAAAAAAATTTTCAATTTCTACAGTGAATTTTAAGATCCCTGTTTCAAAATCTCTTTAAAATATTAATATTGGAAAATCCTTTATTATTCCACATTTATGTCATTATAGAAATCACTATTTAAGATTCCAAATTCGCACCTTTTGTAGTTTAAGAGATGTAGCGACGTGACAGTGAGTGATTACGTGAGTGATATTTTTTGGCTTATATATAGATACTGGCGATTTGTCTTTTTTGGGAGTTCAAGTTGGTACTAAAGAATTAATGTACTGTCAATGAATTATTTGCTTTTTTTGTGAATAAAAACAACACACCTATTATTTTAGTGCAAATTCTAAATCAAATATTGAAAAACCAACTATGCTAACATATAAATCGTGTGAAATAATTCTAAACATGGGTGAAAAACCAAAACATAGGTCAAAAACTTGTAAATAATAATTTTTAAAATGTACAAGTATTTTAATCGATTTGTATAATAATATACAAATATATTGATCTGAAAGTAATTATAATTATAAATAATACTGAAATTATATTGATAAGCTAATAGCTATACAATTTTACATTAGTTTAATATTAAAGTAAGATTCAACATTGTGTGTAAATGTGGATTCGTATGACTATGATAATATTCGTATCATTTGTATCAAGAACAAAAATGATGATAATTATAATATGCTCAACATTTTAATAAAATAATTGGGAATTAATAAAATATCAAATAGCCTGATAGGTCATCAGGAAATTTTTGGGGGCCATTAAAATTAAATATACCTACATGTTTATCCAAAAATAAAAAGAAGGTAAAATCTGAAAACTTATTAAAACCATATTTAATTCATCATCAAAAATAACTTTGTTTAAAAAATAATTTTTTTTCGCTGACCAACATTTGGGGTCTTCTGATGTATTACAAATATCAAATATTAATTTTATCGGTTAACAGGGTGTAGTTAACCACGCTCATAGACTGATACTGTGCTGTTGCGTTATTGGACGTATTTTATTTTGCTTTGAGAATAAATAAGTGGCTTATAGATTTATACCTATCCCCAGATAGCTTAGGTATAAATAAAATGCATAGTGCGTTTTCAAGTACATTTTAGTTTAGAGATACAAGTTTTAATTTTATATTACATGTTCAAAATTAACGCCCTTGCCATTTATCTACAACTACCATGGAAACACCAGACACAATTTATAAAACATTTATCCATCAATCTTAGAGAACAGTAATACAAAACAACTACCAACATTTAGTTGGTAAGAGAGGTGATGGACTAAGGGAGATAATGAGAAAGTAAACACAAAGAAAATCTAAAACACACATGTATTGTATTGTCACGAGACACTGATTTCATAACAATATTGTACAATGGATTTTGAAATAAATACAAACAATATGACAACTTAGTTTATGACAAGTAGGTATATAATTGTATAAATTTATGATTAAAAAAAGTTCTATGAGAGCTATATTAAAATATTTAAAGCTTTTCAATTTAAGCCATAATATACAACTTTTATTTAAAATCAAAGAATCAATCTGAAACTAGACCTTTTATGGTTTTAATTATTTTTTTCTGTCCTATTCTTTTAAATGTTATGTTACTCATTTTTTTTTATTCAATCCTCTCAAATATTTTTTACTTAACAATTATTTACGTATTCATATATGCATTGTATTTATAACAAAACGTAATGCCCATATAAATAAAATGAACTAAGTGAAATGATGGATCAAGTGATAAACTTTCAGATTTTTAAACTAAACAAACATACAGAAAATTTAATAATACTATTTATTTGACTACCTGCAAGTTTCAATTAGGAAAAGCATTTTTTTTTCTAAAAAGCTGTTAAAATAATTAAATATCGATGAATATTAGCGAAGTGGTGTCAATATGATAAATTGTACTCCAAATAAAAATAGCAGTTAGTTGAGTAACTCTAAGTGGAGTTTGATTTGAAATCCGAGTAATATATTAACTTTTAGTTACATGAATATCTACACTGAAACACGATGCATTATTTTTTCTTTGGTCTCGGTTCACTAATGTTCATAAAATAATCACTTCTCAATTTATAGTACACACAAAACATGTCCTACATTTTTACTCAAGTAGATTTACACTATAATATAATAAGTTATGCACAAAATGTTAGATGGCAATTATTAAAATAGATAGAATCGTTGTTGAACCTCTGAAGTCTGATAGACATTGGCATGGCCGTAGGAATAGGACTAGGTAAACGCATTTACGAGTGATGTAAAAATAAAACATTTTCAAAACTAAAATTATTAGAAAACCAAGTTTGAAAATAATTTATTGGTTTATCATTTTGTATATTATACCATCAATAGTAAAGTAAAAAGATTGAAAATACGTAACTAGCATGCTATACAGTGTTGACTTGTGAGTTGTGGGTGAGTCACTATATTTTTTTTATCAAATAAGTAAATTCCAATTCAATGAAAAATGTCATTACGTACTAAAAACTATGTTGAGGGAAGATGATTTGTCAGCTAATATTACTATGCATATTTCATGTAATGATTTTTGATATTGCTAATAAGATAATTAATTTTATTTTTAGTTATATAGTAGGTTGATTTAATTTTTACATACAACATTGCTTACAACTTGCTTAACTTTTGATTCAATACCATTTTAACTTAAAGTAGGGCTTCACTTATTACTGTAGAATGGTGAAAAGGTTCGTATATTACATTTTATTAATCTAAATGTTTAAAAACATGTATACCACGTACAATAATATACTTAAAAGTTTAGTTTGAATATTATCTAGTTTGCCCAAATTTGAACTTAAAATGTCTATGAAAAAAATCCCTGCTATGTATGTTTAATATTTGAAAATAGCTAAAATAACAACTAAATTTAAATTAAAAACCTTGAATCAATAACAAATAATTTGTTATCAATATTTATACAAACAAAATGCCAAACGTTTATAAATAAATAGCTCAAAAATAGCTAACATATTTGAAAGTGAATACCTACAGTTATGTGTTTTTGGATTACAATCGGAAAAGAAAATCGTTCGACGAGAAATCCTTAATTTAAGGGTGAATATCCTATGACGTAAGAGTTTTGTGGAAAAATTACAGTTTTTCCCTAATTTTTATTTTTATTTTTCCTTGTTATTAAGGAAAGTACTCAGACTTTTGTTTTGTCCCCTTTCAAAATATCAACTAGATTTGTTTCCTTACTAGAGTAAAAATATTGAGGATGGAAATCTAAGCATTTTGACTTACCAAAAGGTGATGACTAACACAGAAGAAAAATAAAAATAATACACCATTGTAAAATCAATATATTCATTGTTCCGTTTGGAATCTAAAATTGAGGTACCACGTGTGCTGCATATAATCAGGTAACTCACGTGGCCACGTGTGACGTGTAACACATATTCTATTGTTATATCGTTATTCGTTACGTCATTAAGCTGAATGTCAATAACATCATGTTATAAATGTTATATAAATAATAACTAAAAAAAAAATAAAACAAACACTATATTAACTCTTAGTAATTATTTAAGTACCTAGTTTATCTTTAATAACATATTTTTTTTTTCAGGTGACCAAATGGGATACAGAACAGTATGGTAGTAATACCACGACTATTACTACCACTAACTCAAAAATATCGAATAGAAATAATTAATCAATAATATTAAACTTCGTACATATTTTCAAATTTAAAAAAAACACATTTTTAACAAGTAATTCTTAGATTTATTTATTAGTGTTCACTAATGTATTGTAAATAACAGTGTACCCACATTAAAATATAATATTTAAATAAAAGTAAACACTTCTTGAAGACATTGTCCGTTGATTCTAAACACTTGAAATATCATAATCGCTAACCGGGTCATAAGGAAGATTAACAGAAGACACAATTAAGTTTTAACTAGTTATACTATAACGTACCTGGAAAAATTAAATAAGTATTTAAGTTACATAGACTTTTGTGAAATTTCCAAAAATAGTCATTAATACTAAAATAAAGGTTCTTACTGAATTTAAGATTATCTCGAAATAGATTTTAGTCGCTGCTTCCATACACAATTCGACTATTTAGAGTACATTTTCTAAGTTTGCATTTATTGTTTTAAAATGATCTTAGCTTTGTTTCATATATATTTTTACATCAAAATAATAATAATTTAATAAACGATTAAAATGTATATATTATGACATACCCTTTATTATGGGATTAAGTAAACTATGGCTTATTTTAAGGATTTTTTAAAAGTGCGCATGAATCTTTCTCAATACAAACAATTATACAATGCATATTCAAATAAGCCCTGGGGACTGGGGTGAACATAGTTTGATAAGTGATGACCAAATTAATATTCAAAATGTGAATATAATATTAGAAATCTCCTTCAAAAAAATTCACTTACCTAATTGTTAATTACAGCATCTTGAAATATTTAATAACTAGAATTTCTTCCTTCCCCTTCAATTCCAATTTGTAGAAAATTAACTCTAATATACATGTCGTTTTTATTTAGGCTATAGACTAAAGTTTATACCAACTTGTTAATTTTATTTATAGGTAGATACCTAATAATATAGTCGTCGTAATAGTTATTTATAATTATAAATAATTTTCATGGATGTTTTGCATGAATTACTAGATTTTTTTCTTATGTTCTTTGTACCCCTCTCATATGATATTATGTATTATAATTTATAAACGATAAACAGCTTTAACTTTTATAAAACTCAAATTATCTATTTTGCTATTTTTGAAGTACTGAAACTATTATTGAAAAATTAGGTATTTTATTTTAATCAAATACAAGACTACATTTTAAATACATTTTTAAGAAGTCTTAGAAATAGGTACTGCTCAGTGCTCTTTGACCAAATAGTTATAAAAATGTACATTTTAGTAAAATATCTATACAAAGTGTAACAGAAATACCTTAACAATGAAATAACATTTGTTCTAATCAATATTATTTTTTTTTAAGTAAAAAGCTTATTGATTCTAGCAGTACTAGTAACTAGGAACTACTTTAGTACTTTATTTTTATGTTTTAATACTGAAAATAAAAAAATATGAATTGTAATAAATTATTTTTGAAAAAATTCAAAATAGCAGGTTTTTAAGCCTAATTTGAAAAAATGTTTTTTAATTCAAGTAGTTCATTTTTTACAATTTTTTAAAATATCATTATTTTTTTGAGTAAATTATTTTGAATCTTAGGTACTTTTTAAAATATATTATTTTACAACCATTAAGTAAATCTTAAATCATTTACTATCTATATAATTTTCAAATTTTTTCCATTTGTTAAACTTAAATCAATTTTTTTTTAGTTGACAGGTCTTTCACCGCGTATGGTTGTAAATTATATTTCTGGTCCTTACATTTTTATCTCGATCACGATTCGTGGCAGAAGTGGCACTCGATAATGTACACTCATAAAATAAATATTTTCAAATGATTAACTTGTGTCCCATATACATATATTGGAAAAAAGAGTACCTACACATAAAAAATCAAATTGAGTGGTACGATAGGTATTTAATAGGGGAATTAATGCTTGTTTGAACGTTTTTCGAGAGTGACATTGACTCTTAAGTTATCATAATAGTTTAGAATCAGATGATGCATGAATTCATTCACATAATAATTAATAACTTACAGCTGATGAACATAATTACTATAGTTTTAATGTAATTACTTATAATAATATACCTACGATAGACCATGTTATGTTGTTTTTTAATTCGTACAAACAGTTTTAACAATCAGTAAAGCCTAAACTGCCCATAATGTAAGATTACATAAAAATAAAATATATGCATCATGGCTGATCACATTTAGTGATGACAATTAGCCAAAAAGAAGAAATCTTTAGAACAAATTTCATAATTTGAAATAAATGAACAGTGTAGGTCAAGACTGAAAAAAAGGTGTTACGTATGAAGAAAACATGTGTCGCTTGTTAATGGACGTCATTACAACTAATAGTGGTCTGCTAATCGAAACGGCACGTGGCGTATTTTGATTGTAAGCAGTCGATAATGGTCTGAGAAAAAGTTGAAAGTATACAATAATGTTGTACCTACTGCTGTCTTATTATTATTATTTTTTGTTTTATGTGAATTTATCTTTCGGGAAAATTGAAACTTTTCCATATTATATGGCTATCCACGCGAATCGCAATTATTTCTACTCTCTCACAGAGTGCCACGTTCAACCGCGGGTGGTTGGACATAAAAGGTCTAATAAAATACCTACATCAATCGAATGTGGGCACAAGAATGGCTATACCGGCTAATGATCCAACCTACGATTGCGAGTATCTACCTACATAATATACTATTATATTGATGCGGTACGCGAGCCACGGCGGTGAACACAACACCGTTGAGTGAGAGGTGGGTGGTGGGTGGCGAAAGTAATCGGCTTAATGGTCTTTAAGAAAATGTCTACAAAGAGAAATAGACGACAGCATAAGCAAAACTAATCCTGAAATATTTGACGAGATTTTTCGAATTAATTCCTTTTCGTCCCCCCGCGAACATCCGTTCTACAGGACGACTGCGCTATAAATTAGCCAGTTCTCTCGTGTACTCGTTGTGTCGAGCGAAACGTTATAACGACCGAAATACAGACAGCTCGAAACGAAATATTTGTACTCGTGTAAAACTCATATCATTGTGTATAATATATTATGTGAGCCACTATACCGCCCATCCGATCGTTTATTAATACGTTGTGTGTGGTTTTCGATATTATTAGGGTGGGAAAAAAAATCGACCATTTCGGACATTAAACAAATAAATAAAATACACTAACCGGTGGTATGGCTGTGTTTTTTGTTCGGTTCAATGGGCCAGGGTTTCGAATATTAATATGATCGCATTGACGACGAGAAATTAAATTTCATTTGGTCGGTAAACTATTTGCTAACCGTAATCGATAAAACTTGTTTCGCACGCCTATTGTTAAGAGCCTAAAAAATTATTCGAAACGTTCATGTGTTTTATTATTTTGTAGTGTGCAAAGTCAACAAAATGTGTCTATATACATAAACATATTATTATCATTATTAGTGTGGGAGTAATGGTAAACTTGAAAAATAAATCGAATGATAAATAAATACTATACAAAAGCATATTATACGTCTTACTAACAAATACCATTTAATCTATTCTTCAACTGTACACACATTTTTGACAATATCTGATATACTATATATTTTATGAGAACACTTACTACATATAGTATGAGTAGTGGAGCACACTACATCGGTATTCAATTGCAGACTATATAATTGTAAAAAACAAATATGTGTATATTCAAATAAATATATTTGTCCGATGAAAATAAGCGCACACCCAATATAGTTAATCTTGTTTTGATATAAAAAAATCTTTGCATACAGGTTAGAATGGACAAATATACGTTTTAATGAAAATGTGTATTTATTTTGTTATAAAGTTAAAAGCAGAAAAAAAAATATTTTTACTTGTGGAACATTACACACCTGAGTTGTAGTTGAATAACGTTTTTTTACCGTACCTACTACGTGTCATATCACTGTACATTAATTTGAGTCAATTTTATAATTAATTATACAAACAGTATGGGACCCTTCTGATTACCCTGTTCCACCTATATTATAATACATTTATAATTTAAACTATATTGTATATATTTTAATGTAATTATTGATTTACAATTTGTATAAAGTTCTTTTAATTTGGTAAGTCATACATTTTAGTTGTTTTTAAGAATATAAAAATATATTGGTTATTTTTGGAATTCGGTCCCAGCGCCCACCACCGCATCTAAAATGTTAAGAATCGTACATTTTTTGAGTCCATTCGTGAACTTGCGAAATTCTGTCAGTATGTGTTTGACCTTAGGAGATAGGGTTACTCCACAGGTTTAACATATGGATGGACCACATTTTGCCATTAGAAAATCGCATGTTATTCTAGATTTCATTCATTTATTCTGCATTTTGTGTATTGTGTATTTGATTTCCCTTAGTTTAGATTTTTTTCCAATGTGTTTGTCATTTTACTTGAAATTTTACATTTTATTTGCTTTAATGTGATTTGAGTTGTGTTGCCCGGCTTTTCGCTTCTATTGGTATGCTTTTTTGCTTTTAAGCATCTTAGTTCCATTCTGTACCTATTTATAAAGGCCTGGTATCCAAATAAATATTATGTTTATTCCATTGTTTTGTTTTTGTATTGTTTTTTATTACATGAGATTTGCGATGTCTGTAGTGAATCAGTGAATCAGTGGTCAGTAAATGTATGAGAATAATATTCTTTGTATTATGCTTATTTCTTTGGACATATGTGTATTAAACTATTTTGTGAATAAATTATATTATATTATATTTTAATTAATTATATTAAACTGTTCTATAAATTCTGTGGTGTAAATGAGACGATTTTTAGTATATATAGTTTATATTTGATTGTGAATTTTTTCCGCGTAATTACGGTTACGAAACGACAAGCTTGGATAAATCTGGTGCTGAAAGCGTTCCCTGTGCAGAACAGCCGTCGGAGACAACTTCGTCGAACGATATTGTAACGGTGTTGGAGACGAGACCTGTTGTCCAGATTTTATCGAAGAATAATGCTAAGCTTGTATTATCCGACGTCTTGGACAAGTGCCTGCGATCTGCTGCTGTCTAAAGATCAATAAATATGATACTTAGATCGA